GCAGTTCCACTTTATATAGACCCCATTTAAATTTGAAAAAGGATTTAAACGCATGATGCGTCTCCTTTAAACAGCATTGATAGGCATCCCATGCAGGTTTAAACTCTTCAAACCAGCACAGATGAGAAGTGAAACATCTTCAACCAACAAGCACAGAAGCCAAGTTTCCTTTTTGAAAACATTTTTAACTCTCGGGGGCCAAGTTTCCACGAGGCTGGCTGGTTGTGTTGCCCAGTTGTCCTACATGTGGGCTGTGAAACAAGAGGGCACCCACACACATTATGAATGTTCTGGTCACTCAAGACAGACCACACCAAGGGAGGATCGTCATATTGTGCTCTAAGCATTACGAAACCTCATGACATCAGACACAGGTACTGGACTCGGCACCACGTCTTGATGACTGGCACCAGTTGGACCACAGGTTTAACAATATATCTGTAGATTGCCAATAACACCAGAGTGAAGGCGGCTGCCTTTGAAGTGGTCCGATAATCAGAAGGCATGGATGATAACTTGGGCTGTATCACCTTCAACAATGAATCTTGCAAAGCAAAACGGATGGTGGTGCACCAAGGGGAAAGGACCAGTCCAGAAACTCACTGGTGTTCCTCTCTGATGTGTGGTTTTAGGACATCGTAGGGATTTAAAGAACTTTGATGGCAAAGTACTGTCAGTGACATCCAACTCATCCCAGTGCCAAACAGCCAGGTTTCAAACAGCTGTGGATCGACTTGTTGCTGGCGAAGATTCAGTTCACTTCTACACTTACTCACCTCTTCTACCCAGAGCTCAGACTGCTAACTCTGTTTCAGCACGTCAAGTTTTATTTAGAGTCAACCACTCTGTCTAAGTGCTCAGCTTTTTTTGTCAGTGAGTGTATCAATCTATATTTTATTTTTGATGGATTTCTAAACTCAAATACACATTTAAAAGAATATTGTTGTCATCATTATGTTTTTTTTGCCCTTCCTTCCAGAAAACATCCATTGAAAAGACCAAACCTTACAGTCTGTCGGTGCTTCTGTTGCTCTGAGCATCAATTCTTCTTCACATCCACACTCGGCTGCCCTGATAGTGTTTATTCATAGGCACGCCAATTCCCACGGACTCAAGTTGAGACAGTTTTCTCCAAAGGCACTGGACTTAAAGTATGATGAAAACGTTTAAAAGTTGTTAAACACAAGATTATCAGAATCAATAAAATTAACCCAAATTGGTTTTAAAGGTAAACGTTATTTACAGTCATATCCCCTTCATCCACTTTGTCCTGTTCAGAATGACCAAGAATAGGCGGAGCCTGTAGAAACACTTATTTGACACATAAATGTATTTGAGGGTTTCTAAATGTTATGTTTATGTATATATATTGGTTCCCAGTGGTCATGAAGTCTGGTGGGATAAAATGCTGGTTTTGGTCTTTTTAATGGATGCAATGGGCTCAAGAACAATAATGATGTCTCACCCTGCAAAACAAGGATTTGTTTTGGTTTTAATGAAAACCAGGTTTAGTGTATTTTGTGTTTTTTTTTTTATTATTCCAAATGTCGGATTTTGTGTTAACATCCCAAAAGATCTCATCATACTTGTTATTATTTTGTTGTTGAGGCCCTTTACACACTGGATGATGACCTCAGTCCTGGCAGGTCTTCAGGCTCGTATTAAAATTTCAGTGCGCTCATCATTAAGTAGGAATTGTGGAGAGTATTGAGCACATAGAAAATGTTGGTAGCAAGGTCATGTTGGTTTATCCATGATGTGGGGCACACACTCACTGGTATGCAGGCTTGTGGAGAATTTGAAGCAGAACTGGCCCCACGTCTATGAACCCATCACACTCACAGCTCACAGTAAGTTATTACAGCGCTCTTAATAAAATAGACTTGTTGCGTCTTGCTACTGCTCTGATCACACACAATATGAGTGCACCATGCTCTTACTTTACCAATCCAAAATAATCACACGCCGTAACTGTCCGCCGTTGATTCAGCTTTTAGTTGCGAAACAAAAAGGACTTGTCCTGATCACGGCCTGGTAGATGTGATGGAGGTTCTGCACAGAAAACTCCTTCACCTGAAGTGTTTCCTGCTCAGAAGCAGGTCTGAAACTGATGTTGAAGACTGAAGCCTGATTTATACTTCCATTCTCACGTYCAGCTTACAGTCTTGCGTGACGAAAAAACTGCGTTATCTCCTACTGACACCTAGCCTGGTAAAAACCAGACCCTGTCCTTCACTTTGCTTCGTACAAGGGTCTGGACTCGCTGCATAGRGAAGCGATTCTTGCAGGAGGCGTGGCCTCTGCTGAAGCATGTGTGTGTTGTCGGTGTGAAGGAGGCTAAGCTAAGAAGCTAAGTGGAAATCGCGTGTGCTGTAAACAACCCTTACAGAGAGGAGAAATTTACCGAGCCGAACGAAACGACTGTAAATGAGAGCTGCTGCTTTGTCAGACAAATTTATTTTAATTTGGAAGCCTTATCAACACAGACTGGCTTCATTCACTTCCTCCACTGCTGTATGCTAAAATAACTAGCAGACACTGCGCAGAACATCGACGTCATTCAAAACTCCTCCTTCTGTTTGCTGATTGGTCCAGGTAAAATAAACTACAGAGACTCTGCGCAGAAAATTGATGTTCTGTTCTCTGGTTGGCCCGGCTAAAAATCTGCCATCGAAATCCATCTCAGTGGGAGAAGTCCCAGARGGAGCAGTGAAGGGAAACTAGAACTGAGCGGAGCTGCGTAGGAAGGCAAGGGCCAGGCTAGCTGACACCCTGTCTTATACATTACCCTCAGTCAGAACTCTGTATTGGAAACCTCCGTGGTTTGCGGTGTGTGATTGGTCAGAACTTTTTGGGCGTGTTTGTTTGTGCAGAGCAGCTCGTCCTTCTGAATGTCATTTTGCTCAAAATGATCCGCTCTCAGAAGCCAGTTGTTAAACTAGCATTAGAATGCTGTGGGAGGGATTATGATAAATAATCCCCTCGTCTACTAAGCAAGTATAAACACTAAATAAGAAAACGGCATACCAAAATCCCTGTTGTGCTATTGCACATCTTGTGGAAGTATAAACCAGCCTTTAGAAACCTCTGTGGATTGTGAGGTCATAGAAACAACCTATGCAGACATGACACATGGGTTTCACTGTCATCTGTAGCTGCTTCRTCACACAAGCTGTGTAAGGGTCAAGGGTTGCAGCCAACGTTGGCCACATCTGTCGGCCACTACTCATGCAGCRGACAAAACCCTGAAAACTTCGGCTGCATCTGAGTAAGCAACCGACGGTGTTCCAGAAGTCATTGCACCGTCAACAAATTAAACAGGAAAACATTTTTTTTTAAATTTTACAACAGAGTTTGAAAATTTATCACGGACCGATACAATGTTAAATAAAAAGTACTGATACTGGAGGTAAACCCAAATTATTGCTTTTTGAAATTACTACGTTTTTCTATTAAAACTGAAATTTGTGAAACTCTACCTTGAAAAACCTCCGTAGATTAGACCATCCCATTTCACAGCCGTTTATGCAGCCGACACGAGTGGCCTACATGGGCCACAATCTGTCGTTTGCAACCCATGAACTGAGACACAGTCACMGTCCAAGAAGAGGCGTATTATCTGGTAGTACTTAGTAGTATTTTGGGAACATGCTGATGCATACATTATGGTGAGAGATAAGTACAGCTTCTCAGAGAAGGGAAAATAGGAAAAAACATTTAGGCAAAAACTAAAAGCATAATGAGTCTCTTCACACAAAGGTTTATTTAATTTACCATAAAATTCAGCCACGTTCTACCAGGTCATGGAGAGCATAGTGGGGTCATCATCCAGCAGGAAAGGGACCTAAGATGCCAGCGACTGACTCTCGTGATTTTAATAAACGTATTTAAAACCTTGAAGGCAGCTCACTGATAAAGGAGCGTCCTGCTGTTGTACAAAGACTAACTGACCCGTGTTAAGGAGCCATGGAGCAGAGTTTCAGAGGTAGTTTCTGCACAGTGGTGTCAGGCAGTATAACTCCTGGTCAGACCACAGAGGGGGGAACATGAAAGAACATCATGAACGCTCAGCAGCCAGTTGCTGTGTGATGTTCAGGAAGATGCCTCAGTTTGGAGGCTTTACTCCCTTTACGAAGGGACTCCCTGCACATTGTGGTTTCTCCTCTTTGAGTTCTTTTCTCTTGATTTTCATGCATTGTCTCATGAGTCACTGGCAGGGAAGGCTTTTGTGTCTTTTTCTCTTGCATTTTGTGAATCTAATGATGCACTTATGTTGCCCCACTTTTCCCTTTTCTTCATACCTTACCTACTAAAGGAGGGAATGCCACTTTATTGGTAAGTGGATGTTAACCAGAAGGGAGTTAAACAAGAGTAACCATGAAAAAAAAAAACATTAAAACAAAGCAAATGGGTCGCTGTTCACATCTCAGCAAATGTTCTCAGGAAAAAAAAATCCACAAAGAGAAAATTGAGTAGCAGTCAATTTGTTTTCTGATTCAACTGATTCAATAATTGTGATCTTTATTTTGTTCCTTCCATTTCTGTGATGTTTTGTCAAGTTGTCTTTTCTTCCTGTTTTGTTTCATTTTTGTTAGCCATTACTTTAAAAAACTGAAGAAGTCCTCTTTTCTACTCTACAAAATCTGTAGCTCTGTACTTTCTGCCTTTGCTCTCAAACTTTGATTCACTTTTGTTTCTTTTCTCCTCTTTTCCTGCTCTTCCTAGTTCTTTGTTTGTTTTTGCGATTTTGGTTTCTTCAACTCATTATGGTTTTGCATGCCAAGTATTGCATGCGCTGCACCATAGAGGACTTTCTATAAGCCATATGGAAAAAAAATAGATCTTTTTCTTTTAGATGTTTACCTCCTTTTGGCAAATAAACCGTAGCTCTTAATTATCAGCCTGAAAACACACTAATGCTGTTTTTGTCTTATTTCTTTTTTTTGTTTGTTTGTTTGTTTGTTTTTTTCCTTTCGTTGTTGGTCATCACTTCTCTGCAGAAGCTGCATCTGCTGAATGCTAGCTCTGCAAGTATCCAGTCCTCTCTGCTGAGGGACCACAGGCTCCACAGCGCCCCCTGCAGGAACCAGACGGGGCTGACGTGCACAGCCAGAGAGGCCGGGGGCATGGACGGTAAGATGACGGCTGTAGGGAGCTCTCTGACTCAGACGTCAGGGAAGAGAGGGGTCCAGAGACCCCAGAGGAGGAGCTCCCACTCCCCGGATCACAGCAGTGACTCCACCCACTCCCAGCAGAACCACGCTCAGAGAGGGAGGAGCTCTCGGCACCAGAAAAAGTACGGCTTCCGTTTGTCTCACCACTAAGGAGCCTGTGAGGGGACACGGGGGCGGGGGGGTTTCTTTTGCGTTCCCATGCAATACTTTTGTGTTCCCTCGCAAAAGTTTGATTTGTATWTGAACTGAATTAAATCAGACTGTTATCTTGAAATATCCAGTTACCAAAACAGGATATGTCGCCACAAGTTCGTGAAATTGACATTGATGTTGTGTGGCTGCACTGTGTTAAAATATCGACATACTTCCATGCGTGGCTGTGTGAAATATTCATTCTGAAGATGAATTAAAGCAGTAGGCTAACTCGCTAATGGTGAACATGTGAGTTTGTTAATAAACCAGCAGGCACAACAGTGATAAACTACTTTTGCGAGGGAACACAAAAGTATTGCGTGGGAACGCAAAAGAAAAAAAAATCTCCCATGTCCCCTCGCGGGCTCCGTACACCGCACATCTGACAGAAACAGGCTTTTTATTTRTGTTTTTAAAAACGACTCATTACAAAAAAAAATCCCCAGGTCAAAGGGTGGCCACGCATCCAAACGCCACCACCGCTCGGGTCGGGGTCCGGCACATCACAGGAGCCCCTCGGGGACTCCGGGACGCCATTCGCACACGTCAGCGAGGAAGAACAAAGAGTCTCGGAGCAAAGCCAACCWCCGGCAGCGCAGCAGCTCCTGGAGCAGCGGGCGCTCGTCCTCCCGCTCCGCCTCCAGAGACAAAGCCCCAGGCAAGGTCAAATCGCCCCACGGCAGACAGAACGTGTCCAGGTGAGACATCACGTTCATCCTTTACCTCTTCTACATTTCCTCTGCCATCARGTGACGGTGGTTTGTGTGTCACGCAGAGAGAGGGACAGCGCTAACCGCTCAGACACTGACAGCCGAGCTCGCCGCCGCTCACGCAGCTACTCACCCATACGGAAGAGACGACGAGACTCGCCCAGCTTCATGGAGGCTCGAAGGATTACCAGGTACCTTTACCCTCAACAATCAGCGTGTCGTTGATCATTTTGTTCTTTATAAGGATATTTTTAGCTTTTATGTGTTGACCAGAAGTTTTAATATTTTAAACCCTCATTTAATTATCAGCAAGGGAGCCAGAGTTAAGCCAACAGCTCAGAGACCGGACTTCTGTTGCCCAATAAGTGGAAACACTCCATCAAGTAAAAGAACAAGTATTATCTTTTACCTTTTAAATGTTATTTTGTTGAACTAAATCCTAAATTAAAATATTAAAATTGATTTAAAATCTATTTTTATATTAACTCATTTTGAGGTTTGGGACAGGTTGTGTTTTAGGACACTTCAGATTGGGTCAGACCAGTTGAATAGCCCTGATGTAAAGGTATTTTTAAGGCAGTTTTTTTACTCAAATGTCATTGAGTCGAAATTAAAAATGATTTGATAGTTTTAATATAAAACTATTATTTTAAATTGTGTGTATTCAGTTTTGTTTTGTTATCAAAAGTCAACAAAATCAGGAGTTTAAAGGATAATGTTAGGTACGTTCTTTTTATAATAAAAAAAAACTGACATCAAATTAAATAAAATGAAATCTGTGGAGAATTATATTTATTTGTTGTTCAATGAATAATCTATGATTATTATTTTATTACTTTTAAAACAAATGATTGTTTTTAACACCTTGTTCCTCCCCACTAAGTGCACATTCATGTCTTTTTATTGAATAATTTTCTGTCACAGCAGCCTTTGTTGTAATCCAGAATTCAAACAGGTGAAAAAGTGTCTGGGTCGCTTCTTTTCCCTCTGATGTGAGTCTGAAATGTTAAAAATTGAGTGCGTGTTGTTATCTTGTGRTCCAGTCCTAAAGGTGGAGGCATCCGGATGCTGCTGAGCTCAGCAGGACTCTGCTAGTCTGACTCCTGAAGCTCGTCTGAACGGCAGACCACCAGAGTCTCCCTGAGTAAACCTMACCTCCTCCTGACTCGTCTTTGTTTTCCCCCTCTGTCCTCCCTCTGTTTCTCCATCTCCTCTCTGAAACTCARGATAACTGAAGCTCCAGCCTGCTGACGTTCACTAATGCTGAAACACGGGGATGCAGGAGTTAAAATGCTATCAAGGTTTAACTGATACACCCTGGTTATAAAAGTCATGATAACTAATTGTGCTGCAGGAAAGACTACATTTAACACATTTACTTTATGGTTCGAATTTGGAGTGTCCAGTTCTTTTTCTATAATAGGAGTAGAGCCAAAAACTTAATGAGCTCTAAACCTGCACAATTTACACAACGGAAGTACAAACTGCAATTGCAAAAAAAAATTAAATTAAATTTTAAAAAAATCACAAATGAGACAAATTTTCCTGCAGACAATCAAGAAACTAATCATTTCTCTGCACAGTCACCACCTCATCCTTGCATTTTTTTTTTATACTTTTTACAGCAGAGATGTGCAGAAAACTTACCATAGGTTCATTAACATGGCATGTGAGGGAGTGTTTGTTTTATTTATTTATTTATTTTTAAAGTACCGATTTAAATACGTTTAGGATTCGGTACTGTTTTGAAAGTATTGATTTAGCACCGGTATCGAATTACCCTTTCAATACCCAACCCTAGTGATGGCAAACTTTTGTACAGCTCCAGTAGAGCTGTGTGGTGATGTAATGTCAGGAGGGTGGGACGTACTCTGGATCCAAAAGGTGACAAAAATCTCTGTTTATCACTGATAAATCTCTTTGTGTTGTTTAGCTGTGTTAGCTTCAGGAGCTAGCAGTGTGAACTTAGTTTTCTTAGAAGAGTGTTTGGATTTGTTCCAGTGTTTTATCTTAAAAGTCGAATTAAACTGGCAGCAACAAATACCTGATTTGCAAATGTGGTGCGTAGGTATTGGAAATGTTTTTTTTTTTTTTTAATATTGTCGTATCACAGACAAGTTGGCACGTTGTGTTACGTGTTACAGCAGCCATATCATGGGACYGCTGATGACAAAAAACAAACAGAATACTGCTGTTTCTCTAAAATGAATGGTAACTGAGAAGGGTTGAAAATGTCTGCGACCTCTGAACTATTTTAAGATAATATTTGTGTTCAAACATTCAAGCCATAACATGAATTTTGCAGACTGCCGGCTACTTTTGAACTCTCTGCACCTAGTGGTTGGACGCCATCATTTTGCAGGTAAAATACTGGGAAACGTTGTTTATGGTCGACGCTGGCTTTAAAGCAGGCTACGCCTACTTTAAGACATTAATATATCTTTGAAGCTCTCGTGGGCCACATAAAATGTCGTGGCAGTCCACATTTGGCTCGCGGGCCTAGAGTTTGACACGTGTTTTAGATGCTCTTATGTGATTACTATTCACCACTTAGTTAACAGCTGCGGTCAGTTGAGCTACTGCCTTAATCAAAGCTGTTGTGAGCTAAATAACTCATGTAGAAGGCACAGTGATGTTGAATCTGTTTAAATAAAAGTGACAGCTGATGTTTTATCTGCTTTCTATAACAGAACCGTGGCGGTTCAGAATGAAATGTTGTCACTCCTTCATGACTTCAAAATAAAGGCCAGTGGATTGAGCAGGGCTCAGTTTAGGAAACTGAATAATTATGACAGCAGGAAAGCCTTGATAGCATTTCTCTGCACAACTGTCTGGTTTTATTGAGAGGAAGAGGTTCTTCTGGGAGCTAACAGCTAATTACCTTACAGGAAGCAATTTCACGGTGGCTATTAACAAAGCAAACTAAGCTCAAGCTTCAACTAACACTATGCTTTTTCCTGAGGAGTGTGTGTGTGTGTGGGGGGGGGGGGGTTTGAAGCGTTTGCTGCTCTCTTCAGAACTTTGTAAATTAACCATTTTGCAGCCTAACACTGATCTGCAAACTGAAAGCATCAGCAGATGTTGCAGCTAGCAGCTTCCTCCTCACAGCTGCAGCGTCGGCCCTCATCCTAACGTCTCACTGCTGTGTTTGTCCTCCTCCCCCTCCCCCGCTCCTCCTCTCCAGCGCACGGAAGCGGCCGATCCCGTACTACCGCCCCAGCCTCTCGTCCTCCAGCTACGACAGTAGCCCGTCGCGATCCAGCCGCAGCCGAAGCTACGGCAGCTACAGCAGCTACAGCCGGAGCAAGAGCCGGAGCCGGAGCCGGAACTGGAGCCGGAGTCGCAGTCAGAGCCGGAGTTGGAGCCGCTCCCGCAGCCACCACAGCTACTACAGCCGCAGCAGCGACGGCAGCCCAGGATTCTGACCGCTGAGGATGAAAACATCACCAGACTGCACTGAGAAGCTACTGACATCACCTTCAGCAGTGCTCCAGGTCCAAACCAACCAACTCGGAGCTTGAATCAAAGAGAGCCGTTTTCTGATTTAGCACATTACTCCCACTGCTCGTCTCACGCAGACCTGGGAGTCAAACAAACCCACCATCAACTCAGAGTCCAAAGATCAAATCTTACAGGAAGTTAGCACTTTGTTTTTCATCTTCCTCAAGGAAACCAAAAGTCTGATGTTCAGCAGCCAAAACCACAGCTGAGACCGGTCCATACAGGCAGGCGGAGTCCAACCCCACCTGAAACCTAAAAACGAAGTGATTTGCCCCAAAAACTCATTCCTCCTACAATGTAAACTGCATCAGCTTGCTATTTTTTAATTCATTAATTTAAAATGTTTTTTTATTTTTTAGTGGGACAGTTTTTAAACCGTGGGACAGGACAGCTGAATGTCCTCGCTCGTCAGCAGTCAGGACACATCCGGCTTGTTTCAGCTCGTTAGAGAGCAGCTACACCTGCCGCGTCCAAAACTGCAGAGTTAATGTTTCCAACATGAGCTGAGAGACGCTGAGTCAGCAGCTCAGAGCAGACAGACAGGACCGGAACCAAACACAAAAACTAAAAACTAGAGATGTGACGTTCGCAAACGATCCGAGTCTTTTGAACGGCTCTTTACAACGAACGATAGGATCCGAATCGCGGGCAGTAACGAGCCATTTGAAGTTTTTTTTTCCTTTTATTCCTCATATAATCTTTAGTTCTTCATATTTAAATCACTCCTGCTTTGCTTTTTCACAGAAAACAGGCGGATTTGTGGAGTACAGAAGCTCACGGTGAAAGGGGGAGGGGGGCTTCCGCTTAACAAACACATGTTTCCACCCATGTGACGGGATTACGTCATTACATATGACTACGTGATGATGTATGTCTCTACGTGATGTATTTCTCTACATGCTGATGTATGTCTCTACGTGATGACGTAATACATTCAGATCGCCCTCAGCTGGTGCTTATTTGACTGGTTTCTGAATGTAATGGTTGGGGCTTTAAAGCYGAGGAGGGAATATTTATGCACACGTTAACTCCTTTAGTTTGATTGTTTTAATGAATTATTTTACAGAATTTTTTTTGCCCATTTATCATTGTTAACCTTATCATAGAATATTATGGTACTTAAATTAGAAATCCAGTTCAGAAAGCTGTGGTTCWGTCTGTCTGCTTTATTTCACACAGTTAAAGTTAACTGTTTTTTTTTTAATTTAATCCTTAATCCCGACCCCCCCCTCCCAAAAAAAAATCTTAAACAACATCTCTGTTTTTCTTTCGCTGTAAAATTTGTGGGTTTTGATTCAGGAAACAAATGTCTGACTGATGTGTTCCATGACAATATACACACCTATATATACTATATATATTCTAAAACAGAGGCGACAGATAGGAGAGATCCACTGAAGGAAACTTTATGTACATTTTTACAGACTGTTTAGGCTTTTTATGTTCTTATTTACCCACAAAGACTCACATTTCATTAAAGCGCAGTGATCAACAAAACTGAGAACAAAGGAGACGAGGAACGAAGGAAGGAAAAGAAAAAAACGACTTTTTTAACAATTCAAAGGCTGCTGTATAGATGTTTCTGTATAGTTGTGGCTTTGTAAACTATGCACTGTATATTTCATTTCGCTTCAGCTGGTTGGTTAGTTTGGCATGAGGGGCTAAATAAAAAGGGTGCGTGGGGGAGGGGGGATGACCAGGACCACTCAGCTAACCGGTGGTCTGCACTCGGGCTGCTTTACGGAAAAACTGCAAAGATTTCCCATTCATGTGTTTTGACCTCAGATGTTAAGAATCACTTTATTTATTTATTTATTTATTTATTTATTTATTTATTTATTTATTTATTTATTGTTTTGATATGTGTCATGCTTTGAGGAGGTGACCAATGGAGGTATTTTATATATGAACTGCTTTATTTGTCCTCGTCTGACGCTAAAATCACAACGGTTTACTTTCGTCATGTTGTTACTGAGGAYAATCAAAAGCTGTTTGTTTCCACTGAATCGATCTAAACCAGTGGTTTCAGTCTGCACACGTAAATATGTTTTACAGATCCAAAGGTCACTGTTACGTTTTTATTTTACTCTGCTTCTCGTCTGTTCTGGTCACATTAAAAAAAAGAAATAAGAAAAAAAAAGCTGCATTTTTTTGATTCCAGGGTTTTATACATCAGGATGTATWAAAGAGAATTTAATCAGGATTAAAAAATAATAATAATTCAAATCTAAGTTTGCGATTACAACAACACAACAGATTCTATTGAGCAGTTTGTCCTGTAACCAGTGCAGGGCAGCTGTGGCTACAGTGTAGCTTACCACCATCCCAGTGTGAATGGGTGAATGATTGTGCTTTGGACTTGATAAAGCACTCTATAAGTTCAAGCCTCTWACATTTWTTTGCCAACCACCAATAAACTTCCCAAGAAGCAGTTGAAGAACCAACAGATGAGCAAGAAAGTCCTCCAGAAAACCACTTGTTAAATAAATGAACCTGTTGTTAGATTTGAATCYTTTTAGAACCTGGTAAAGGTCTGTTTGGTTGTTTCCTGATATGTAAAACCCTGAGTGTGTTTTTCTCTGCCGTACATTGATCCTTTGTACAGCAGCGACCTTCAGTCAGAGGATTCCTGGTTTCCAGTATCAGAAGATGTTAAAGACGTGAAGAGACTCTGACTCCATGAGGACGACGACACAATCACTGAAGTCTTCCTTCTCATTTGTCCGGTGTCCACCCAGCGCCACYTTGTTCCTGTAATCAGACTTCACTAGAATACCTGCAGACACATTCATTTATCCCCAGCAAGTATATCACTGCTCCTTTTGTTCAAGGTTTTCTTTGTATTGTACAAACTAATATACCGGATAATAAACAAAAACAGACAAGGACTCAAACTCTCATGTCGCTCTTTTTCCTCTGTAATCTCATGTGTAAATATACCCATTTGTTGTATTTTCCTTTCTTTATAAGCATGTGCAGGTTTGCATCTTAACCCAGATGTTAAAATATCTCAGATGAGTTGAATATCACCTCTCCACTGTCCACTGTTYGTATCTGTGACAACACACAAGGGGYAACAGGGCGACAGCTCACAGTAAGAGCAACTATTAGATTAACAGCAAGCCCAGCTGGAACAGTGTCAGAAAGATTTTTACTGTAAATGAATGTAATATTTAATTTCATTCAACAATTATGTAAAATATCTATCTACCTACCTACCCCCCACCACACACACACCCCTACCT